GGATATCTTCAATTCAAATCCGAACCCGACCCGACCCGTTGATATTTAACCCGCAACCCGACCCGTTAACACATCAAGTAATAGGCTATAGTACGCTGCGCTGCAGAGCAGCGCCATTACCACTGCAGCAGACGTGTATGCTCTGACTGTGGCTTATTTATGTATTTTTCACCCACAAAAGAGCATTTTAGCGGGTGACCCATCGGGGACCCTGCGGGTACCCGACCCGTTGCAGGACTCTAGTCAAAATTGCATCTTCCCATCTGGTCATTATGTCAAGATGAAATATGGGCACTGGTTCCCAATGTCCAAAACCCATGATCACGGCATATGGCACAATAATAGCCTGATTGGTGGTTTCCAGCTGTATTAAATGAAGGTGTGCTAACTATTGAACACTCTTTTTTTGGTCCAAAAACTTTTACTTTAGTTTTGTCTTGATTGAGCAGAATAGAATTTTAGCATATCTATGCGTTGGTTTCTTTTATTTACGCATCGCTTAAATAGGTTCATAGTCATCTGGCGACATTGTGTGTCGTCTATATAGTTATGGTTACTTTCGTTATTTTTTTTAAGATCTGAGTGAAGTGACGGGGAGCATGTAGATATTAAACAGGAGGGACTCTAAAATTGACCCTAGGGGAACACAGCATGTTATTTTTTGATTTCTGATTTAAAGTAACCTTTTGATGCAATAAAGACCCTGCCCGTCAAGTAGGGTTTAGACCAGTCCAGTGCTGTGTCAAAAAGGCCAACCCAGTTTTCCAGATGCTTTAATAAAATCTAGTGATCAATGGTGTCTAAAGCTGAATTGAGATCCCATAATACCAGCACTAAGGTTCTTCCGGAATCTGCATTTCAGATGACATTGAACACCTTGTCAAGGGTAGTGTCTGTGCTGTGGTGAATACGTGAACCTGACTGGAAGACACTGAAGCAGCTGGTCATTGTTCGGAAAGTGTTCAGCTGTTGAAACACAACTTTTTCGATAATCTTACTGAGGAAGGGGAGGTATGAGATAGGTCTGTATTTCTGCAGCTTGTCCAAGTTGCTCTTCAACAGTTTGCTGTTTTTAGGGCCCGGGGGAAAACTCCTGACAAAAGGGACATTTTAATTATTTGAGTTAAATCAGATGTTACTATATAGATTTACAGACTGCTCCTATAATCTTTTGAGTATTTTTAGTGAAGAACTCGGCAAATGTGTAAATATATGTCAGTTAGGGCAGCTGTGATCACTACTTGCTGCAGTTTATGGAGAAAACCGCTGTTTGTAGAGCTATTATTATTGTATACTGTGTTGACCCCTTTGCTCTTCATGTAAATATATGTTGGTTTATGTCAGCAGGAAGAGCAGTTTTAATGTGCAGGAGGATGACTCTTTTCAAACATTTGCTGATTATAGTTTGAGGGATACCAAGGATAAAGTCACATATACATACAGTCAGCACTGCTCTAGTTGAAGCAGGTTGGTAAATCAACAAAATGTCTCTTATCCTATTATATTATAACCATTATAACTAAAGTAAATATGATGTTTATATCATGAGAGATCAGTTATTTGTTATCTAATAGAACAATTTATTTTATCTGATGAGACAATTTAGAGTTATTTTTGTTTCATTCAAATGGCATTTTGCTATTTTTTGAGTAAAATGATTAATACTCCAATAGCAGAAGGTCCTTAGTGGGAGATTTTTATTACTGAATTTTTATTTTGGTAAAGGTAAAACTGGCAGAGTTTTGCTTAAAGCATATTAATTATTTTCTATCCTAACTGTTTTTTTTAAAACCTAATTATTGCTCTAAGTGATTTTTACTGCATGTTTTAGAGTCTGTAAACTCCAGTTAACCATTATGGATTTCGAAATGAGTGTGCAACTATTTTGACAATTGATGAATTGCTATTGATCAGATTAATTAAAGCTAGTGGTTTCTTCCTGTTGCTGGAGGTTAGTTTTCCCTCTCCACTGTCACCGCGTGCATGCTCGGTCTGACGGGTTTATGTCCAATGACTGGATATAATCAGCTGGTTTTCCTTAGATAGAAAACTTTAATCTGACTGTGTGATAAAGTTGAATAGCCTCGGTAATTTCTGTCACCTCTCTGTGCCTTGAGGTGACATGTGTTGTGAATTGGTGCTATATAAATAAACAGATTTGAACTGTTTCATTGGGTTGTTCATTTTATTATGCCGGTTAATGAGGTATTTATGATTATGACTTATTTATGCTTTTTCTAAATAACATCCTATTCACACTGTCACAGTATATTAATTTGTGGTTTTGATCTTGGGTTATTAGGCAATTAATTTTATAGAAAAAAATGCAAGTATTAATATGTTTATCTCAACATTTTGACCAGGTTAGCCTTGAAGGATAATAAATTGTTAGCTCAAATAAATAAGTCATGTCTTAACTTTGTAAATATTGGGAAAAAGTATCTGAAAATAATGCAAATCAACACATGATAATGAATTATTTGTTTTACTCATACATCATAGTTTATCTTTAAAAAGAGGATACGTTATTTAAATTTAATGAGGGATTTTTCTCCATCAACCTCACTTACATGATGATCTGCTGAAAAAAAAATTTTTATCACTGAAATTTTGATCATTTAAATAAAGTTGTGTTAAAATTAACAAAATTAAAATGCATACTGTTGTGGTGATTGTTTGCCACGCCAAACATCCATTTAACGATCCAATTAAGCCACTACTAAGGCACTGGGGTCAAGTTTCTATATGCAGGCAAAAAGAAGTTTAAATGTTCGGTCTTGATGATGGTTCTAAATGGTTTATTTTATTTTCTTTTTTTTTGCCAACAATTAAAGAGTACAAACTTTTTATTTTTTTCTACCTCTCTTGCACTGGTAAAAACCATAGTCCCCAAACCCAAAATGCCTGCTGGTCATTTCCCAGGCCCCTACACTTATAGAAAGTGTAGGGACTTCCTGTCATACCTCAGAACAAAAAAAAAAAGAAGAAGAAAAATAATAAAACAAAGATAAATAGAATCAACAATTAGTAACCTGCAGAAAAACTCTGTAAATAATACAAAAAATATACAATTAGGAATTAATACAATTCAAATGGATAAAGAATTAAGAATAAATATCTTCAACACCTACAGTTATATATATATATAGTATATAGCTGCAAATAAACCAAAATCTGTTATAAATCTGTTATAGGCATGAGAGTGAAAGCGCGACCCCTAGCGGCTGTGCGTATTTTCTTCATTTTAGGCACTGACCCCCCCTCCCCCCCTCTCTCTCTCTCTCTCTCTCTCTCTCTCTCTCTCTTCACTGATGCTGATATTTCTTTCCAGCATCACTAGAGGAGGAGGAGGAGGAGGAAGAGGAGGAAGAGAGGCTGTGTCAGGTGGAAACGTGGACCTCTATGGATATCATCATCGCCCTCCACCGGTTCTCCACCTCAGCACCAACTGCGCCTCCCGGCCGGTGTCCCCAGCTGCTCCCCTTTATTCCCACGCTGCATCCTCCCCATCCTCCTGCGGATGAAGCGCTTCCCGGCGTAGCGGACACCGATCGAGGGAAGACCCTGCTGGAATAACAGCCTCCCTCCATTCATAGCCGTTCCGCTTATCGATCCAACCGGCCGCGTCTTTAGAGGAGGACACATCCAAGCAACAATCTGAGAGTGACCCTTCAGGTAAGGCCCCACACATCACGGCAACATAAAAGAGGGGGGTCTTCTTTTAGTATCATTCCGTGCGTGAACGCAAAGACTCGAGGTGCGGGATATTTTTTTTTTTCTGTTTGCAGGGACGCCGGCCTGCATTTGGGTGCAGGTTGCTGCAGTGATCCGGTGAGGGGATGCGCTGTTTCTCCATTTACCCACATGCGTAACATTATGCACGCATGGGAATCATTTACCATTTGGCTGATTATTCCTCATATTCTCATTTCTGAAGGGAAATGAGGGTGAGAAGCAGAATAGAGGCCTGATTTATGGACTTTGTCATGTTGCAGTATTTTTTTTTTTTTTTTTTGTTTCTTTTAGGCCTTTAACGTTGACTTGCAGATATCTTTTGTGCTCCAGAAGGACTTGGATAAGTTATATATCAGTGCAGGGGTTCCCATTTAGTGACTTAATTTGAGTTAAGTGTTAACTCTGGCCGTTTACTAGAGATGAAGTTGTTGTTTTGCAGCATAAAAGCACGTAAATTGATTACATCCTGATAACAGAACAGTGTCTGCAGTATAGCTGAGTGAATAACTCCAAGATTGTTCTGTGAATGGATTTAAAGGAAGGATGCACCAAGGTTCAAGGACTTTACATCTATACAGTTTATTTTTTAAATCTGTCATGCTTATACTTTTGACAATCACCCAGCCTCATCTCTTAACCTCCTTTTCAGTCCCTAAAAAAATATTCATACCTGTCTTTCATATTTAAACCATATTCTATCTCAATTTCAAATGACTTGCTTTGCAGAGTTGAGTGAGATGTTCAAAGCCTGGTATATTCTGTAATAACCTAACACTTTGTTCTATGGTTAACAAGGCCCCCCATGGTGCTACCACCACTGTGTTTCACTATGATGTAGTGTTAGTTTCATCACACTGAGTTTTGCATTTAGGCCAAAGAAGTGAATATTGTTCTCCTTCCAGAACACCACACTCCACATGTTAGCTGTGTCCTCTAACTTAATGGAAGTTAACTGGACCTCTGCATTCCTTTATTATTTCAGAAAGTAGCCAATCTGTGGTGCATAATACCAAGGTGGTCCAACTGTTAGGTTTCCTATTCCTAGGGTTGCCATCTTCCTGAAAAAAAAAAACAGCATCATGTGTGTGCCAGCTGACCCGATTGCCTTTACCCCTCCTGGCGTGGTGATTTTTTTTTTTTTTAGCCCCCCTTTGTGTGTGAAAGGATTTTTTTTAACCATTTGACTCAAATATGCATTGAATTAAATGCATATTTGTGAGTGACATGAACACATGGAAAACACATTATTATCCAGCAATTTACTTTAATAAAAAATAACAAACTTTGCTGAATAAAATAAGTATCTTAAACATAATCCTGTCCTGCTTAACTTCGAATTGTAAAAATGAACAGAAAACAATAAATAAATTGTGCACATTTTTGGTGCAACAGGAAACTTATAATTTTCTCCGGCTTTCTTCTTTGTGAGCAACACTTGGCTCGACCAATGGGATGAGGGTATTCTGGATCGTTTACATATATGTTGTCAGACCATTGATCACAACACAGGACAGAGCCCGTAAACATGTTTACCGTAAGTTTTGTATCTAACGTGCCTTTCATTTTCCATGAGCTTTTCCATTACATTTTTTTACTCTCACAGTAATATGGGACAAAGTGCGTTCCTTCTCCATTAAATATGGCACATACTTCTATTTCTAAATATGAAAACATTTTAAAAAGGGTGTAATTACTCTGCCATATAACTAGTAGGTGGTGTGTTCTTTCTTTGAACATCAACTACGTGCACGTGCATACAAACACTATCCTCACCGATTGTTGAGTCTTCGGGCCACGTATTGTCTGTTTTGCAAGATTGGGTGGTTTTTTTTCACTACTTAAATATTTGTTAGTACAGAAGTTGGACTTTGCTTCAGCAAACAGCGATTTGTCCTGCTTTGTTTTTGAACATCAATCTTTATATTAAAAAAAAGTTGCAGATTTTGACCAATTTAAAACAATTATTTAACTAATATAAAAAAGGATATTCAAAGCAACCTTGCCCTATGTGAAAGGTAATTTTCCTTTAAACTTATATTAGTAGCTGGGTCCCCCTTGGCAGCCATCAAGCATATCCAAAAATGGAAATGTGTTTTTTTCATATCTCTGTAGTGGAATTTTAGACCACTTTTGCAGCACACTTTGCAGCACTGTTTTAGGGGGTTTTCACATCTACCGCGTTTGGTAGTTTCATAATATTTGTTCCCTCTTGATCTGAACATGCTGTCTTGGTGTGAATACAATCATGCAGCCTTGGTGTGAATCAAACAACCAGACTGAGTAACACTTTCTGAGGTGTTTTCAGATCAAAACCAAATAAACTCTGGTTGACTTTGCTTCTGGTGGACACAATAAGCCACCATAGGGGCCTGTAGCTGTAGTGATGTTATACAGCATGCATTCACTGATACAGATCAGAGCAAGGAATATGGTATGGTAAAAGTGCATGCAGTTGCGATTTTGCCATGAACGCGTAGCAGAAATTCAGCAAACTGGACTTCAATGAAAGTTTTCCTCCATTTCTGAGTCTGTGAGTGCTGTTTATCCCCTATCATTTCTGTCCAGTGGGAGCAATGATTGTCAAATGTGTAGCTCTGTTTACCAGTTATAAATTACTTCCAATAAGTCTAATTTTAAAACAAACTGCACCAAACAAGACAAATAAAATATTTGCTCTGGGTCTGGACATAACAAGCAGAACAAAGGACTCTATTGGTATGAAAACAGAACGTATTCCAATTAAAGGGTTTTTAATGGTGTTGATGGTCATGCTTCAGCATCTGAATCAGTTTGAAGTGAAAACTTTGACTAGGCCATTCCGAAATCTTTACATTTTTAAGCCTTTCCCAGGTAAACTTGCTGGTGTGCTAGAGTCATACAATTAGCACTGACTCAGTTCTGTGTGCACTTTAAAAATGTTTTGAGAGCTGTACTGAACGAAATTTCTTTTTGTATACACTCTGTGTGTAAAAAATGGCAATACAGTCTGTCTAAGTCTAAGATGGTCGGAGATTTTCCTTCAGAATTTCAGAGGTTCCAGCAGGTTGGAACCACTATAAGTGGACCCAGACAGTCAAACTGGCACCATGTTTGTAGGTGTGAGGTTTTGGAAGAACTGTTCTATGGACACTGTCTACGCTCAGACTCTCAGATGCAGAAACTCAGGAAAATAAAAACTAGGATGCTCATACTGCTTTGCAGTTCTTTGTCCTTGGTTTTCAGTTTCCAAATTCTATAAGCCTTAGACACAGTTTTTACATCCTTTCAAGCAGATTGATCCTAATGACTTTGTGTCTGGTCCATTTTGGAATTGCTTTAGTTTGGGGCCTGATATGTTGCTGATGTTTCTTAAAACCTTTGGCCTACTTCATGATGTTAGATTGGTTATGTTTAGGTAATATTTTCATTCTGCAGGTCTTGCAGTAATAGGGTCTGGGTTTGGCTCCAAAAACAAAAAGTTAGTCTTCTTTAAAATAACTGTTTGTTTTATGATCTGAAATATAAAGTAATTGCTTCATAATTCCTTCATTTAGATGAACTGTTAGGGTGACAATGAAAGTGACGCCAATGTCAAAAAGAGTGTGGGGCATCATGGTTCATGCAATGTGTTTAGAAGCTTTTTTAATGCTTGCTAGAAATAGAAACAATTATCTGAAAATAGCCTGGTGCATAACCAAAATGATGAAAATAATAAGCCAAATTATAAAAAAAAAACAACCTTCAGACTGGTACCTTGGAAGCAAAATAGAATCAAAGAAGGATGTTTTTTCCCCATAGAACTGAATATTTATGTATCAGAGATCAGTGGGTTTGTCATCTCTTCTCATCATTTAATATAATGATTTTTCATCTGGTTAAGTTTGTTCCCTTTAGACTGACATATATACCGGTACCTGATTTATTTTCATTTTCTTCCTCTTGATGATGATCTGGCTCTCTGGTAAAGCTCAGCTGGGCATCTGTCAGGTTGTGGAAGACAAGGTGACTGATTGGATTAAAACTTTGCGGTCTGTCCCGGTCAGAACTGGGCGTGGGCTTCTGCTCTTGTTTACAGATGCTGTTTTTTTTCTCACTTTGCTGAGGTGAAGTGAGAGAAAGTGACTCAGTGCAGTGTGTAAAATGCGTCCCAAGTGACGTCAAAGTAAAAGGATCTGGTGCTTGTTTGTGAAGGAGAGAAGCAGACAGAAAGCTTGCAGCATTTAATGGGGATGATGGAGGATTTAGGTGGTTTTGATGGGAGAAAGAATTTTTAAGTTTGATTATTCTCATCCACAATGCTGTGCAGATGTTTTAAACTGATTGCAGGTGTTTATCCTACAGCTTAATGCGAGCTCTATGGTCATCTTTAAGTGTCATGGAATAGTCTGTTTTCTTTTTTGTTCAAGTATACATTCAGTTATCCTAATCAATAACAGTAGTTTAGTGTTTTTTTGTTATGCCATATATTTTCTAGTGTTGCACCAATGCCATTTTTTGGCCCCGATACCGATACCTGACTGTGCAGTATTGGCCAATACTGATACCATCTGTTTGATATTGATGTATGTATATGAAGAACAGCATAATACTTGGATGTAAAATAATTGCCATCATGGCTTTGTCAAGCTGCTAATACCTTTGTGAAGCAGGAAAAAGACTAATACAAAGTGAATTCAGTAGAACTTTTTATTGCCTACCTGGAATTGGTGACGATAGTTGAATAAACTTTTGGCTCTCAAAATAGTATCGGTGTCCTATTTGATGGTACTCGCCGATACCAATACCACCATTGTAGTGCTGGATCGGAGCCATCCCGATACTGGTATCGGTATCGGTGCAACAATAATATTTTCTATTTCTGTTTCCCATTCTTATTTTTTCTTAAAATATTTGACCTTTGTGCCAACCATTTGGCTTACGTTTTTACCTGTCACTTTGCTTTTAGTAAAACTGAATCTCCC